ATGATGATAATAGACAAATAGCCAAGAAGAACAATCTTAGGATGGTGTGTCCCAAGGCAGAAATATGGTTCACACCACAGAAGGGATGGCAACACTCTGACCTTCACTGACACCCCCATCTCTCTTTTTATTCATCATCCTGTTTTTCATTTACAGAACACAGTGTTTACCACGTGCTGCAGGTGGAAGTTTGGGGAAGGGCTATGAGGTACAGAGGAAAAAGGAAACATTCTAAGCAAAGACAAATCTCACACTGCAAACTGAAATTTCAGATAGTTTTCCCTTATTCACAATCTGTAAGCTGTAAATGTGGAGCCACCTGAGACATCAAGATCTTATCTGAGTGTTTTGCTGATCATAGACTTTCTTTCTCTTTTCACGTTACCTGGTTTTCATTGAGGGAGCTGTGAGCTATCCCCACAGTTATTACCAAAATTGATTTTGAGTCTACATCTGAAGCATTACCCGCTACTTCTCTGAGGAAGATGGAATATATATTTATCAAAATGTCCTGGCTGAATAAAAGATTAAGTAAAAGCTAGTAATAACAATACCGACATATTGGAGTTTTTAAGCAAGAATATCATTCTTTCCCTGCAAAATTTCCTCCCACGGTTCCCATGTGAGGGAAGCCCCCTCACAGTGCCCAGCTGCGTACCAAGGAATCAGGTGCTGTAAGTCATAGATGGCTAGGAAGGTTGTCTGAAGAGACAGGTACACCTGTAAGGCACAATGGGCAAGCTGTTGGAATTGCTATAGATAATTACCTTACACAGACTTGTAAAATGTCAGACATAAAATAATAAACAAGACTCTGGATGTGGTTGTTCTTTCTAATCAAATAGAGCCATCTATGGGGCAGCTCCTTCCTTATTTCCATCAGAGTCACTGCCTTCCATCAGCAGCTCCTCACTTCATGAAATACTGCACAGGCAAGCATTTTTTCCTCTCCACAGTATTAATTAAATTACATAAAACTGGCAGTGTTTAAATTCTGGCATCTGTATTGTCTCACTTAATTACATCCCTGGACTCTTTTCAAAATTCTTTCATTTGCTACAGGGACATCTATCGGCAAAAGGGGAAGAAATCAGATACAAGCAGTCAAGTGCAATCTGGGGCCTGCCCCCAGATATAAGCAGTCAAGTGCAATTTGGGGCCTGCCCCAGCCCATGCCCTTCCTTGTGGAACAGGTGCTTTCCACTTGTCCGTAGCATCCCTCTAGGTGCTGAGTGGCTGGCACTAAACACTGAAGGGAAAATGTTACAATGAGAGATGTTTGTTGGGAATGAAGGAAATCTCAGTGCGGAGCCTCATAAATAAAACACTTTTTGACGTTCTTTCAACTTCTTTTAAAACCCATACAAGAATACCTTAAAGTAAAATGTGGCTTTCCATGGCCCAATTTCTGCAATCCACATTTGCCAAATAAGAGCTTCCATAAAGCTCTGGCATAGGAGAACCTTCAAGATGTTTGTGATGTGCATCCTGCTCAAAGGGAGTGTTGTAAGTCCGGGGCCGGGGGGAACCAGGTGACCCCTGCCTTCAAGCCAGGATAGGATGCGGCTGAGCAGACAGGATGCATAAGGCAGAAGAGTCAGCTGCCCCAAGCCAGCTTCCCAATGAAGAGCTCCTGGCAGAAAAGACAAAGATTACAAAAAGCCCACAGGTATTTTTTTAGAAGGTCTTTCCCCTTTTTTTTTAAATTAATATGTCCAAAATTGAATTAGTTTCTTTTCCAGATCTATTTGTCTTATTTATTTATTTATTTATTTATTTATTTATTTATTTATTTATTTTTGAATCCTAATGAACAGCCATCATCCAACCAGAAAACTGGGATCACCTTTGACCTCTCTTCCCGTCCCCTACCTCTGCCCCCTAATTCTGGCCTCCACCTCTTCGGGGTCTCACCACCACTGCTCTGGTTTGATAAATATGCTCAGAGGGGCTCTGTGTCTTCTCTAGATCAGGGGATCTCTTGGCGCTTTCCCCACATCCTGAACCTGCCAAGATGATCTTTCTAAAATGCGAATTTTGCATGGTTACTCCTCAGTGGCTCCAAATTGCCTACACGATAAAATCCAAACTGCTTAGCATAGAAATTGAGACCCTTCATGATCCGGACCTTGATTCCCTCATCAACCTCACTTCTCTATTAAATTGTTCACTGTTACTGAACCACCGAAATGGGGTCTATAGACTGAAGTTTTATAAACGGTGCTTATATTCTACTGAGAAAAGAGTGCTAAATTTGTTGGATTGTTCTAAAGAAACACATTAAAGTGAGAAAAATCTTAGGTTTGATTAAGAAACAAACTTTTGTTAGTTATTGTGGGAATCTGATTTTTTTTTTTAACTGAAATGAACACATTTAGCAATTTGGAAAATATTGCTATTAATCAAACAGCTAAAAAGTGTATCCATCTTTCTTTCATTGGCTCAGAAAACATTTCACAGATGCCAATAATGTAACACACAAATCCTCAGGCACTGCCACACAAAGATGAGACACAGCTGTAGCCTTCCCTGAGCTCAATCTGTGGCAGGAAAAGACAAAAGAAGATATATAACACCATGTGGCAGGTGCTATGAGAAGCTGCTGGGCTTAACCAACTTGTATTAGGCCTCTTTACATGGCAGGGAGTAGGAAACCCAGACCAATCTCATTTGAGCCAAGGTGGGAGGGGCAGGGAGAAGAAACTTACTGTCACACATAAAGGAACATTTCAGGAACAGTTCACATCCAGTTATAGTTTTATCCAGGCCCTCCGATACTGTTGTCAGATCTAGCTTTTCCCCTCTTAACGTCACTGATGTTTGTGTTGGCTTTCCCATAACCAGCCTTTCCCATTTGGTGACAAGTACTGACATTAGAATCTCCAGGCTTACATTCTCCTAGTTAATCAATTTTATAAAAACAAACAAAACTTCTTTCCTAATAATCCTATAAAATGGTCCCAGGTTATTGAGAGTTCTTGGCCTTGCTTGGGTTGCACATCTAATCTTAACCCAAACACTTGGCCAAGAGAATACAAAGTACTGCTTGATCCATGTCATCCTCCCAACCTTAGTGTTAGAGCATGGGGTAAGCTTCACTAGAACAGTGCAGGCTGGATGTAAGACAAAAGTGGTTCCCCAAGGAATAAGTGCCAAAAGAAGGAGGAAGAAGTGTTAAATAGGAAGGAAAGAAGATATATTTGTTCTAGGGCTAGAGCTGGATCTTGAAAGGTTAATAGAAGTTAGCCAATAGAAGGGTTAATGAAAACCATTCCAGGCAAAAGTGGCAGATAAGTAAAAACAGAGCTATCAAAAAAGATGGCACCTTCAGGTACTTTTCAAAATTATTTCAATATGGTAGGAAACATGTGGGTGGGTAGATAGCAAGTTAAAAGACCAGAGGTGTTTAGTCAAATCATGATGAGCTGTCGAGTACTTTGATGTTGAGTAATTTTTTTTTTTTTTATTTGACAGAGAGAGAGACAAACAGAAGAGAGAGCATAAGCAGGGGGAGCAGCAGAAGGAGAGGGAGAAACAGGTTTCCCACTGAGCAGGGAGCCCGATGCGGGGCTCGATCTCAGGACACTGGGATCAAGACCTGAGCCAAAGGCAGCCGCTTAATCGACTGAGCCACCCAGGAACCCCAGATGTTGAGTAATTTTTTGGAGAAGTCTAAGCATACCAAATATATGAATACTTTGAAATTTCAGTACTACTTGGGGAAGATTTTGTATAGCCCTGTTCTGAAGAATTATGACCTACGGATCCACATGCTCTGAGCCCACTTGTGATCCAATTGGCATGGTCAAGTGGACATGAGATGGGCTTCTGATTGGAAGACAAGCTGGGACAAAACCTCTCTCCCACGGATACCCATATGCAGGATGGTCACTTGTCATACCTGTCAGATCAGTACTCCAGAGGGAGAATCAACTACTAAGTAGCAGATGGAGTAGTAAGAAAAGAGGGAAGAGTTAAATTATCATAATGGCAGAAATTAGAGCCAGGAGTAACAACAATGTATTTACTATAGCTGTTCTCTGTCTTGAGCCACCATGCAATTCTCCCGGTGATATTCTAGTGTTCATGAGAGCAGGCGGTGTGCCTTTCCTATTATCTCAGCTGCGCACATGAAGTTGTTGTTTTTCACCATTAATCTTTACTATGAAATCCTTTCTTTTGGTCACTCTAGAAGGCCCCTGGGTCTTGTTGCCCGAAGGAATTCCAATAGTTTAAGTGCCTGGCATGGGTCCGTCCATAGTCTTCAGGTTAACATGAAGACATTGGAAAAATTCTAAAGCACAGTATTGAAAAATACATGTTAACTTTGTGTTTTTCAATAAATTAAACAAAAGAGTGTGTCCTAGAATGGGGCAGGGGAGGGCAAACAATATACTCAATTTCTTCCACCTACAGAGGAAGTTTTTCTACTCTCATATATAAAACCCTTAGTTTTCAGGCTCCTCATTTGGTAACAGTAAAAAATTTTCTAACCAAACCTTGCTCTTGAGATCACGGCCCCCTGTCCAGGACTTGCCTTCTTGGTAGTCTGTTTTGCTGCCTTGATGTTGACAATAGAGTTCAGACATGTCTAAGTAGAAAAATAAATACAGCAAAATAAATACACAAAAATAAATAAATTTAGTCTGAAATATCTACAAATGAACATGGACAAGTCACAACCTTTAAACAATGTTTAGTTCTTATTTGTATTATGAAATTATCTTATTCAGTATATATTTTAGGTCTGAGCCTTGAAATACTCTGTTTGCCTTTGACTGTACAAAGGTTAACAATTCTGACATGAAGTCAGTGGATGAAAAAAATCCTTGAAACTAAGTGGCATATATTCACTTTGGGGGATGCGTTTTACTGAGAACCATGATAGTTGCAGGGTAAAAAATACTGCCGTCATTAATCACACCAAATAATTGTTTTTATAAAATATGTAATTTCAACAAACAAAAAATCAAACATATTTTTATTTCCTTGTTTTATAGAAGAGGAGCCCAGAAACAGCACACAAGAGACACCAAGGGTGAGTTTCATAGACAATTCAACTTTGGGGCCCATTCTGGATTTCTAATCATGCAGCCTCTCTCACGGCAGGTTGTTATGATTAGGTTGAAACATTTTCATTTATCTCTGTTATCTGGAAAAGATAATTAGATAGTTCCACGGCAAAATAATTTACACAAAGGGGCCGTGACTTTCAATATGTAGTTTTAAACTGCACATTTAAATAATATAATATCTGTCTCCCTTAATTTTACTATGTCTCCCTGGGGTGGCTTTGTTTTTCTTTTCTTCAAACACACAATTGGCTGAAACAACATACTAAGTGTCTTCGGTTTATTCATTTGAAATTTTGGAATAGGTAATGTAGGAAGCTTGTTCAGAATTTTACCAAACTCTTAGCATGAAAAATGAAAGTGGCTTTGAACTGAAAAAAAAAGCAAAAAAACAAAAACAAAAACAAATTCTGAAGGCCTGGCTAAAGATAAGGATTACATGTGGGATATACTTGTCTTTGGGGTGTGCGTGTAAAACATAATGAAGGGGTTTTCGTTTTTGTTTTCCTTTTAGTCATTTCCGTGCATAATCCAAAATCCAAAATATGTATTACCTGTTAATCAGAAGCAAAGTTTGCCTTACTTAATTATACAGCTAAGCTTGTTCTCCATCGAGTGTTTGGACAACAGTACTTTCTTTGGTGAATGATCAGTTCTTCCTGAAGACTTTGTTCCTTCAACTACTCCATCAGTTACAATTCATGGGCTGAGCTATCTGACTCATGGGATAGAGAGATGAAGGCCCTAATGAATTCAGGTTAGAAGATTAAACATCTACCTACATTATACCTAGAGATGCTCTAATAGATTATTACCACCAATTTACCATCACAAAATTGATTGTATTTAGTGAGGTTTCCAAAATATAGATGAGATGCTGCCAACTAGGCAGCAACCACTTGGTCTGAATAATTCTTTAATTAGATACAGCCTATGAGCGTCCCTATATTCAACTGACATTGACAATACTGGGCATGATTAAACTATTAATTTTATGCTTTCGTTTTATAATAATAATGAAAATACCAAGAGATTCCAATTTCTCATGAGTTTAGATGGACAACAAAATCTACATACAGGCAAGGGCCTTCAGAAATATGTATAAAAATATTTCAGGTTTTAGAGTTTGAAGTCATGACTTCTAGTTAGTTGGTTTAATAGAAAACATGCCCTTCTTGAGTTACTTAACTTCTCAGAGGCTCAGTGAACTTGTTGATAAATGTGTGGTGTTATTGGTGACATTAAACAAATACTATATATCATTTTATATACATATATATAAATAAAGGCATAAATACTATAGAGATGCTTGTATATTAACACTAAGAATGTAAAAAAAAAATAGTGATAATAGATAATCCCCACAAAAAGTCTTTAGGGGGGGATGTTCAGAATAAGATGTTAATCACACAAATCTGCAACTTTTCCCAGAGACACGTCCTTTGTAGCTTCTTTCCTAATTATGATTTTTCTGAGTAATATAAACATTCCCTGAGCAAACTTGTTTATACTCCTAATTAGTCACATCTGGAATAAAGTGTTTGCAAAGACAAGAGTCAACATACAGTTCTCCAAATTATGAGGTTTTTTTTGAATTAGTAGATCTAAAAAACACGGTTTGATTCTATAGCAAGTTATGTTCATATTAGTAATGCCTTAATGTGTACCATTTAAAGCAAGAGACACTTACATATTCTGAACGGCATCAAATAAACAATCTCTGATGGCAATTTTTATTTAATTTATTTTTATCACTCAAAAAATACCTGCAAAGTCCAAATCCACTGACCATCTCCCAAGCCTCTCTGTTGAATTATTTCTTTGACATATGAATAGAAAACCACCTCAGGGATGATTTTGTTCCCAGAGTATCTGTAGCATCCACATTCTAGACTGAGCTAGAATAATAGTTGAATATTATTTGCTGAATAATTGTGACTTTGGGCTCTCTTTCCTGCAGGCAGTGCCTGAGCCTACCATGGAGGCATCATCATCAGATAAGGAGATCTCTGAAAGATCTAATCTCAGGTTCTGACAGTGTTATCTCCATACACGTTTCTTTACCGCATACAAAGACCACAATTGTGTGCCTGTAATTCAAATACCCTTCAATTAGTCAAGTCCCATAGCACCATTCTTCAATTTAAGAGATTCAAATACCCTTCAATTAGTCAAGTCCCATAGCACCATTCTTCAATTTAAGAGCCAGTCCCGGCACTCCAAATATAGGAAGAGAATTGCATTGTTAGTCACAAAAGCCAACATCACAATACTGTGATCGTCCCTGGTACAGAGCCCTAGCTCTGGCTGGGTTCTAACATACGAACATAAGAAGTGCGTGCTCTCTAATATGACCTTGAACTAATAAGTACATTTAAGTACATTTACCATGTGCAGCATACCAGGTGCTGTTCTAGGCACCAGGGATAGCCAGAGGCCCTGGTCTCCTGGAGTGATGTCTTATATGGTGACACAGGCCAGAAAAAGCAAAAAGTGACAGTACCAGATGATGAAAAAGTATTATGAAGAAAATTACATGAATGTGATCGGGAGAGGTTGGTCAGTTTGGGGTTAATCTGATCAAGGAATGCCAGGTGAGGATTTCAGGAAAAGGGAGGCCCCGGGGGAGTACCTGGAGGCCCATGGGGGCAGACATGCATGCGCTGGGTAGTTCTAAAGAGAGGCACACTCAGACTGACTGCTTCCTCCAATGAGGAAGGGATCTTGGAAGGAAATGAGGTCCAAAAAGTAGGACCTGATCCAGGATCAGAACTTAGGATTTTGTAGAACACAGAACACAGATCTGCACATTGACTTGTATTTTTCACAAATCCTCATGTATGTTTAAATTGTTTAGATTTTTTGTTGTTGAGTTATTTTATACCCCAGGATGGTAGTTCTCCCTGTATCATTGAAGAATATGGCAAAGATGGATATTTCTCAATTATTTTGTCTTAATGAGAAATTGTAACACACTAAATCACTCTAAATAAAGGAAAAATAATTTAAAAATGTATATTAAATCTTATGGTAAAAATCTGTATGGCCAATTATAAAATTAATAACCTCATGATTAATTAATATATAACTAACTTCAAATGAATTATTCTTATTTTTAAGTGTTATTGGTCACTGATTGCAGAACAGCCACCAAATAAGTAAATATCAATTTGTACAATTACAGTATCAAGAATAGAATGGTTTCTAGGGGGTGTGGAGAAGTAGCAGTGAGATGTATAGAACAAAGGCTTAAAAAGCTGAATTCACAAAAGCATGAAATGATATTCAACCTCACTAGTAATCGGGAAGCTAAAAACCAAACCCCAGTAATGAAACACTCTGCACTCATATTTGAAAAAATTCAAAACTCTGAGAGGAACGATTATTGTTGAGGATTGCAATGGGAACTTTGACTCATTGCATGTGGGATTATAAATCTGTGTCAAGTATTCTGAAGAACAGTATGGCATATTTAGTAAAGTGTAAGAAATGCATATCCTCTAATTGAGTCACTCCACTCATAGGTATATGAGAATGATCCTAGGGAGACACAAGCAAGAATGTTCACAGCTGCAACAATCTGGCAACAACAAAAAATATTCATCCACGGGGGCTTGTGTAAAAAAAAATACTGTATTTATGCCATGGAACATGATACAACAGTGAAACTAAATGAACTAGCACTATATATATCAACAGTGGATGACTCACAAACAACATTGAATGAACAAACATAGTTGCAGAATAGTATATATGGTGTGATGCAAGTTATAGAAAGCTTTAAAATATACAAAACAATAATGTATATTGATCTGGGATATGCATAAGTGGCATAATGCATGAAAGTTATAACCATACTGCTTTGTCACAGGAAAGAATAAAATTACGATTTCTGTTTTTGAACATTAACTTCTGCCAATTTATCAATGACTATCAAATGCTCTTCTTTGCCTGTTCATGTTCAACAGAGTACAGCCAGAGTCGTTCATTTATCTTCATTAATAGCCGAACACAGAATACTCTTTATTGACTTTAATTTCAAAGTTTCTTTCACATGAAGTAAGGCACATAGCAAAATTCTTTAGTGTGGCAGAGATTCATAAAGCTTCCATTACATAAAAAAAAAAATCCAGAAATGAAAATACTATCCATGTCTTTATTTCTTCAGGTTTGATTCTTGAAGCTTTTAAGTGTCTCTGTAGAAAACAAAACAAAACAAAACAACAAAACAAAACTCACTAAAGGACTTTACCAGAAAATGTATTATAAATCACTATTATTTTTTGTCAAAAACATCAAACATGACTTTTTCTCCAAAAATCAGAGCAAATGATGAAATGAAAGCAAACATTGCAAGTATTTTATTTACTGCTTTATAATGAATGTCTGCTTCTTGATGAAAACAAAAAACGTATTTAAGCATTGACTATTTAATTTCTTCTAGCCATTAAGAACAACAACTTTGGTCATTGCCTTTGACATTCTTCAAAATTTGATTTTTTTTTACTATGTCCATTTTATTATATTTTATTGTGGCCACAATTAATTATTTTCTCTGTAATTTCAGTGCACTGAACCTTAAAAAACATCTAAAAAGTTGTTTCACTGTACTTTGTTCAAGACTGATACTATTAAATTTCATCCAATAATTCCATAATTTTCAATTATTTCATGTATTTACTAAAGTTTGCACTTACAAAACAAAAATATCACTCCTCACAGTTTGCATTGTTTCACTGTTTTACATTTTACATGTGATGAAATCTAAAAGTGGTCACAGAATAACAGAACTGGAGTAATTTGAATTTTGTTGCTTCATTTTTTTCCCACAAGAATTGTGCTATAATTTTCTATTTTAAATCCACTAGTTTAAGTGGCAAGTACATGTACAACCACAGGATATGGAGATAAAAACTCTTCCCAAAGTGAGCTTATATGATCCCCAAATTTTGCAAACTCATCTTCCAAAAGGACACATGTAGCTCAGTTCTCTGGAATAACTATCATATAGAATGCAACTTATATTAAGGATAAGTGATTTAAAAGATACTCCTTTAAGGCTTATATGCAGATTATTAAAACTTAGATTTATTAAAGTTTAGAATTGTACACTTTTGGTGATAATAAAAAGCAACCCAGGGAATGGGGGTATGGGTGAAGGTGGTCAAAGGTACAAAGTTGCAGTTATAAGATGATAAGGTGTGGGGATCTAATGTACAGCATGGTAACTATAGTTAAAAATACTGTGTTGTGTCCTTGGGAATTTCTAAGGGAGTAATTCTTAAAAGTTCTCCTCACACATACAAAGGATGACTATGTGAAGTGATGGAGGTGTTAACTAACCTCATTGTGTTAATCAAAATCTTTTTGAACATGAAGATGGGAACAAGACATCCTAAAACACTCTCTCTACTACACTCTACACTTGGTGGTTTAATAAAATTATCTTCAATTTTTAATAAGCTTTTTATCTTAAGTAATTAATTGGAAGATTACAGGAACTATTGCTGTATTTTCCACAGTATTTTGAAAACCCAACTGAGTGATTAAAGGGCAGGACTGAAGAGAGAAAGGACTCAACTTATAAGCCATTATAGTTGTGAGGAATTGATAAGGCACAGGTTATTGAGCCAAAAGTCACTCTGGAGAAGGCTCAGAATGCAGAGTCCCTGACCCCACCAAAGAGATTCTAACTGATACCTGGGTGTAGCAAGAACCAAACCCTTTAACTGAAACTATCACTCCCAACTCATCAGATGATATTGATGCAGGTGATTCTAGGACCCCAACTGGGGAAATTTCTCAGGGGAATTAATATTTTGTATTGAATGTAACAGCCTAAGGATCTTTGGACATTCCCTACTTGATCAAACTGATCCTAGATTTAAGAGGCAAAAACAGTGTTCAAGATCATTTAGGTGAGTAAATAAATATTAGAATAAAATGATGTATGAGAAAATGCTTTATTTAATAGAATTTATAAGCCTCTAGCCAAAATAAGTAAAGAAGAGAGAGAAAGGATCATATTACTAGTATCAGAAACTAGAAAGGAGACATCACTACAGAGTCCATGGACATTAAAGGGATAATCAAGGGTACTAGGAACAACTCTATGTCCACAAAGCTAATAACCTAGATGAAATGGATCAACTGCTTGAAAAACACAATCTACCAAAACTCACACAAAAAGAAGTAAATGATATAAATAAGCCTATATTTTTTAAAGAAAGCAAATCAGAAATTAATAAATTCCCAAGACAGAAAGCAACAGGCTAAATGAATTCACTGGTGAATTCTATAAATATGTAAGGAAAAAAATTACACTAATTTTCTACAAGCTCTTTCAGAAGATAGAAGCAGAGGGAATACCTCTTAACTAATTGTATGAGACCAGCATCCCCCTAATACCCAAACCAGACAAAGACATTACAAGAAAAGAAAATTACAAACCAATATCTTTCATGAACAAGGATGCAAAATCCTCAACAAAATTTTAGCAAATTGAATAAATATATAAATAAATAATATAATTACACCCCATAACCAAGTGGGATTTATCCAAGGTATGCAAAGGTTGTTCAACAACCAAATATCAAATGATGTAATCCATCACATCAGTAGACTAAAAGTCACATGATCATATCAATAGATGCAGAAAAAGCATATGACAAAACCCAACACCCATTCATAATAAAAACTCACAGTAACCTAGGAATAGAAGAGAACTTCATTAACTTAATAAACTTCATTAAAAAAAAAGTTACAGCTAATGTCATACTTAATGTTGAGGAATTCAAAGTTTTTCCACTAAGATCAAGTACAAGATAGGGATGCCCCCTCTCACCACTCCTTTTTCACTTTGTGCTAGAAGTTCTTGTGTATGCAGTTAGATAAGGAAACACAATAAAAGATATACAGATTAGTAAAAAAGATATAAAAATCTCTCTCTCTCTCTTTTTTTTTGCAGATGACATGATCATCTATGTAAAAAATTTTTAGGAATCCACAAAAAAACTCCTGCAACTAAATAAGAGATTATGGAAAGGCTGTAGGGTACAAAGTTAATATACAAAAATCAGTTGTTTTCCTATATACTAGCAATGAACAAGTGGAATTAGGAATTAAAAACACATTGGCACCTCAAAAGTGAAATGCTTGAGTACAATCAAACAAAATATGTGCAACATCTATATTAGGAAAACTATAACATTTTGATGAACTAAAATAAGAAGACTAAGTGAAGAGATATTCCATATTTACAGGTAGGAAGACAATATTGTCAAGATGTCAGTAATTCCCAATTTGATTATAAAATCAGTACAAATCTGATCAAAATCCCAGTAAGTTATTTTATTGATATCAGCAAACTGATTCTAAAAGTTATATGGACAGACAAAAGATCCCAAATAGCCAACACAATGAGAAAAACAAAGTTGGAAGACTGACATTACCTGATTTCAAGACTTACTATAAAGCTACAGTAGTCAAGACCATGTGGTACTGGCAAAAGAATAGACAAATAGATCAGTGACAGAATAGAAATAAAGAGCCCAGAAATAGATCATCATAGAGAGTCAACTTTTGACGAATGAGTAAAGGCACTATAATCTTTGACAAAATGGTCTTTTTCACATGAAGAAGAAGAAGAAGAAGAGGAAGAAGAAGAGGAAGAAAGAGAAGAGGAGGAGGGGAAGGAAGAAGAAAGAAGAATTTAGATACAGACTTCACACCCTTCACAAAAATTAACTCAAAATGAATCACAGGTCCAAATGTAAAATCCAAACTAAACTCCTAAAACATAGGAGAAAACCCAGATGACCTTGGGTGTGGTGAAGCCTTTTTAGAAATAACACTAAAGACATGATCCATGAAAGAAATCACTGATAAGCTGAACTTCATTCAAATTGAAAACTTCTGCTCTGTGATAAACAATCTCAAGACAATGAGAAGACAAACCATAGACTGGGAGAAAATATTTGCAAAAGACATATCTGATAAAGAACTTTTATCCAAAATATACAAGGAACTATTAAAAGTCAACAATAATTAAACAAAAAACCTGATTTTAAAAATGGGCCAATAGGGCACCCGGGTCACTCAGTCAGTTAAGTGACCCATTCTTGGGTTCAGCTCAGGTCCTGATCTCATGGGTCATGAGATCAAGCCCTGCATTAGGTTCTGTGCTCAGTGGACATCTACTTGGATATTCTCTCCCTCTGCCCCTTCCCCCACCCTCAAATAAATAAATAAATCTTAAAAAAAAAATGGACCAATGACTTTAACAGACTCCTCACCAAAGAAGACATACAGATGGCAAATAAGCATATGCAAAAGATTCTCCACAGCATGTGTCATTAGAGAAATGCAGATGAAAGCAACAATGAAATACACTACTCACCTATTTGAATGGCCAAAATCTGGAATGCTGACAACACCAAATGCGGTCGAGGAAATGAAATAATAGAAACTCTCATTCATTGCCAGGAGGAATACAAAGTGATACAGCCACTTTGGAAGGCAGTTTGGTGGTTTCTTATAAAACTAAAAATACCTTTATCGTAAGATTCAGCAATCATGTCCTTTGGTATTTACCCAAAGAAATTGAAAACTTAGGTCCACACAAAAAAACAGAACATGGATGCTTATAGCAGTTTTATTCATAATTTCCAATCTTGAAAGCAACCACGATATCTTTCAGTGGGTGAATGAATAAATAAAATATGGTATATTCAGGCATTAGAATATGATTTAGTCCTAAACAGAAATGATCTACCAAGTCATGAAAAGACATCAAGGAAACTTCGATGCCTATTACTAAATGAAAGAAACCAGTGTGAAAAGACTACCTACTACCTGTTTTCAAGTCTATGACATTCCGGAAATAACAAAATAAGGGAGACAATAAAAAGACCTGTGGTCGTCAAGGGCTGAGGGCAGGAATGGATGAATAGGCAAAGCACCGAAGAGTTTTATGGCAGTGAGAATACACTGTCTGATGCTGCACATAGTGATGGATATATGTCATTATACTTTTGTGCAAGCCCATAGAATGTACAACAGCAAGAGTGAAGCCTCCGGTGAACTGTGGATTTGGGGTATGATGTGTCAATGCAGGTTCATTCTTGGAAAAAATGTACCATTCTGGTGAGTGATGCCGACAGTGGGGGAGGCTCTGCATGTGTGGGCATGGGAGGCATGTGAGAAATCTCTTCCTTTCAGTTTTGCTGTAAACCTAAAACTGCTCTAAAAATTAAGTTCTTTTAAAAAGAAAAGAAAATGTTTCATAACCCATTCAGCATCATGCAAACATAAGACTACTGTTTTCACATTGAGGGTGGTGTTTGACAAAATATTTTGTAGATCTGGGACAGAAGACTAAGGATGGTGGTTGGGGGGTAGGAGACTTGATTCCCTAGTATAATTCTTAAAGGAATGATTTCAATAAATGTGTTTATACTAACTTGATAATGGTGTGAAACAAATGCGGGCCTGATCCTGGTTTCTGAGACAGAGCTGAATGTTTTCTCAAGGTCCCCAAACAAGTTTTTTAAAATCTGCAAAAATGGCCTCAGAAAGTGGGAAGGAGAAATTAGATTTAGTTTTGCTTGTAAATAAGAAATATCCTGAATCCAAACACATATGCTCTATGCTAAACTCTCCTCAGATTAGCATAATCAGAAAGTTGAATTTGTTAATTCCAGATCAAGGAAGGAGTTGTAGCCCATCTGTTTCTTTGCAAAATTTGAAGACCTATTACAGTCTCAGTGAGAACAGAACTCTGTGTTTATTGCCATTTTAATAATTTTGTCCTTTATGGAGCACCACTCACCCAAAAGTCTTCACACTTCACTGCAGGCAGCGAGGGTCTCCATAACCCACTTGGTGGGGAAAGGGAGACATGTGGCGGCTGCTTCCCATGCAATATTAAAGAGCAATTTGAAATCCAAAGTGGAGAAGAATATTGCATCTATATAACAGCATAGAGGAAATAAAGAACACAGTTGCCTCAAAAGAAACAGGACTGAAATTAATCCCTTACTTGTGTAAAGAATAGCTGGGGGACCATTACTGTGTCTTAAATCCTAGCAGCTTTTTTTCCAGCAGCTGTCTCGGGCTGCCACACTGGATGGCCACTCGGCAGTGACCCTGAAGGACGAGCACCTGTCCCTGATTATCAGCAGCACTGGAGGACGTCCCTTCAAGGTCTCCTCTCCCAGAAGTGAACAAGCTTAATCTGTGCTTAGTGCAGGAGCCAGCAGGTTGGAGGTGGACGAAAATAATTGGCAAGTCAAAGGACAGGGCAGCGTATGGATAAGGCCACAGCTCCCAGCCTGAGTTTCCATCCTGCTGTTACTTTAACGAGCCTCCTCTGCTCAACTTAAAGTTCTGATTAAATACTGTTCTTGATGAATGAGCCAGGACAGTCCGGCACTGGGGACATCATTTATTTCAGATGGGAGTCAGAAGGGCATGTTTAAGGATATTACACAGGTCACGCAACAACAAGGCCCATGGAAGAATACAAATGTCAGAAAGCCATTTGCCTTTTCACTAGAAAACTTACACTCTTCTTCCATTAAAAGTGATTTTATTTTTTTTTAAAACCTCCTTTCCCAAAAGGTTTGGGAGCTCACCTCTTGCCATACACACATTTTAGAGCTCTGAGTTACTGGCACCTGAAATCTTCTGGTCCACGCTTTATTTACTTAGAATTGGTAGGAAATGAACTGTTTTAGAGGGACATACTTTCCAAGTAACCATCAAAGCTTACTCCTTGGGGTGGTAATATTAATTAAAATATTACACTTTTGGGCGCCTGGGTGGCTCAGTTGGTTAAGCGACTGCCTTCGGCTCAGGTCATGATCCTGGAGTCCCTGGATCGAGTCCCGCCTCGGGCTCCCTGCTCCAAACAGGGAGCCTGCTTCTCCCTCTGACCCTCCCCCCTCTCATGTGCTCTCTCTCATTCTCTCTCTCTCAAATAAATAAATAAAATCTTTTAAAAAAAAAATTACACTTTTTTTTTTTGCTTTTAAATAGCCTATAAAATATGGTTTAATAATTCCTTCATAGCTCAGGGTCCTAACTTTCAGTATCAGTTGTATCATATAGCAGTGCAAAGTGGCCCTGACTCTAAGTGGCCTTTGAAAAACTGTGCTGATTTACATAGTTTTCCAGGCTCTCTCCACCACCTATCTCTTCCTGCTCAGAGAAATCCCCCCTTGCTGCTGTTTCTCCCCCTTTCAATTTTTAAGGATGCCACATGACCACATGACAGTTATTTTCAGAATGTGTATAAAATAAGAGTAAATAGCGTTCCTGTGTGAGCAGGGATGAATTAATGGATCATAAAATCTATGACTTCAAGTGGTCTATATCAAAAGATCAGACAACTATCTTATCTCCTAACCAGATTTTTTTTGATTCAAGGAGTTGAGGCTGCTGATTAAATGGCCTGCAAAGAAGCAAAATGGGACTGCATAATATTGCACCTCAGTTTTTTGGCTATTGGTATAATCCGTTCTGAAAGAGCACCAAATAATATATGTATTATTTGGTTCTCATATAGATAAAATATGTATGTATATATATATATATATACACGTGTGTGTGTATCTATATACATGTAGATAGTATATGTATTATTTGTAACAATGTAATAATATATTTGTATATATGTATATGTACATGTATATTTGTAAAACTATATATATAATACTATATATACTTGGCATTAATTTTAGTAGTGCATGGGCTATATTTGACATATATATTAAAAATAAATACTACAACAAGATTTTAAATTTCAAAATGAAATATTTCTCTGAAAGATTTTTCACATTTGAAATGATCAATGTGCCCCTCCATCCAGGGTAGCATAGTCTGTAATGGCAAATAGCTAGAAACTACTTAAATATCCAAAATAAAGGACAGTCTGAAGCAACCACAGCTCATCTTTGTAAGGGAATGGAAAACAAATGTAAA